TTACCATGTCAGCTGGCGAGGCGAGAGCATGCTGGCCAAGATCCTGTTCCTTCTCGCCTCGGTAGCGCCCTTCCTCGTGCTCCTGCAGGGTTCCTGGGCCCGCGAGAAGGCCTTTAACATCTTCCGATATCCTCCTAATAATCTGGATAGGAAATATGGCCGGGTTTCCGAGCACGAGAGGAGAGAGTTGGCCAATGCTACGAGGGCCATGTTCTACTTCGGCTACGAGAACTACATGAAGCACGCATACCCTAAGGACGAGCTCAATCCCATCTACTGCAGCGGGAGAGGGCCCGACTGGGAGAATCCGTGAGTCTGAGGGTGGTTTATGCGTATTTGCGGTTCATTCGAGGGACGGGAAGTCAGGCTTAGTAAATCCTCAGGCTTAGTAAATCCTTAGCTCGAAGGAGGAGAGGAGCTCAAGCCTAAATGGTTAATAGGAGGGTACCAGTCTGGAGGCCTACCATTTGGTGTGGACAAGTTCATGACAAGGGGATACTGTAGAACATGTACATATTGCTAGTAATAACAAAATTAGGTAGATTTGGAAATGACACCTAATGCTGATTTCCTGGTGAAAACGTGTATCTGAAAGCTCATGTCGTGCTTCAAACAATTCTACCACTCATTTCCTTCCTTCACAATTCCAATATCACCCATGATAGCTGGAGAGGGCGTGGAAATTATCAGGAAAGTTGCAGGGTAAAAGCAAATAATTGAAGTAAAACTTTCAGTAATTTAGTTATTGCAAATTACATTCACAGAAAATAGACTGTTCGCTAGTGTACGTTGCCACATCATGGCCAAGTGCAATTCCCATTGGCTCATGTGATTTCCTTGCTTACATCATCATCTACAGTTCCGTCCAATTGTTTTGTTGCTTCCTTGATGGTAGACTCACCGCTTTTTTTCATTAATGCTATGGTATTTTGCTTAGTAAAGGCAATAAAGCACCATATACACAGCCTAGCAATGGAACTGATGGGCCCAGCTTCTGTTGTCACATGATTATCTATTACAAATATTATTAGTGCTAATAGACTGGTCACCAGTATCTTTTGTTACATCTCAGCCAAGTGCAATTCCCTTAGTTCATTTGATTTCTTGCCATCTGCTACAATTCCGTTTGAATGTTTTGTTGCCGCCTGAATTCTGCATCATTTTTTCTCACCATTGAAAATGTACATATTATGGAGCACCTGGAATTTTTGGTTTGACATCCTCTCTATTATCCTTATTAATAGTTTACAAAGAAACTACTGTAGAAGAAAAGTGTCTTTAGAATGTTACCTCCAATGTCTGATGACATTGTTAGATTCTACATTTTTAGGGTTAGGTGTCATTTCCAATAATACCTAGTTTAGATTGTGCAAACCTATCATAACTCTAATACCTCATGAGGGTATGAAATTAGCCAAGAACATTTGTACCAAAGATCATTATTTCACAAAAGATAACATTAACCCATTCGCCCCGGATTTATGTTCTGTCCCCTGTAGTTTTTGGTGAATTTTGTTACATACAGATGGCTCCACATGTGCTCAGCCGGCAAGGAGTCTATCAGTAGGCCCTAGTTACCGACCCTGATTTTCCCATTCGTTGAATTGGCGGGAAAATTAATACCGTTGCTATCGAAACTGTTAATATTGTTATTGATGTTGTGATTATTAAATTGTCATTAGAATATTTTAGACAGTGAAATGATACAGAAAACCCTTTCCTAAAGTAAAGGAAAAGGGTAAATAGGTGAAATAGGTAGTTCTTGATAACTGGCTATTTGGTGATTAAGGACTTGTGGAGCCATCTATGTTTAAATACAGTAAATAAACGTGTATCAAAGTGGGCATGGCATCTATTCTTGCCACGTGGGGCGAATGGGTTAATATGTCCTTTTCTCTCAGTCTCTACTATCTAAATATATCAAAATTATGCTGTGGGGACCCCCTATTTAGTGACAATCTTAGTCCTGATACCTGGGGAGAGCAAAGGTACCAGGAAAATTGTAGGGGAAAATATGAATAGAGTACAGTAAATAAGTAAATATAGTAATAAAACACAATGAGTAAGTCACTACAAGCTACCCCATGGGTGGCTGCCACCCCCCAACCCCACCCTAGGATCCACCTCTTGCGTACAGCAAGAGGACGAGAGAATCACAAGGGTATTGGAATGTGCCCAGAGAAGCAGCATACTAACCTGTGACATAGTCAGCATTGTTTACTAAATAGACTATAGGTTAGATATTGCCAAGTTGTCCCACATTTAGCTATATGCTGCTGTGATTCAACAGTATATTGAGGTATTATCTTTATTATGTTATTATATTATTGTTAGTTTATCCTGCAATTTCTGAGATACCTTTCGTGCCCTCCCCTGCTATTGGGGCCAAGAATTGGTGGGTCTGAGGGTGTTCTGCAACATGATTTCTACATATATGTGTACTAGAGAATGAGAGGAATCCATCAATACCAAAATCATTGTGACCAGTCATGCAAAGGTATTGTTAAAAATTACCCGAATAATGGTAATATCCCACTAGTACAGACTGGCATGTGATTTCTAGGACTCCTATGTCTTTCCAGAATATACATGCCAGGATTTGCTGGCCTTTCACCAGAACCCCAAGAGTTTGACCACACCAATTACCACCAACACCATCTTTCCAGTAGGTTTCCATAAACAAAAACTACTATATCTGGACACTTTACATGAAGTGCAGTTACTCAGTACCAGATTCATTAGTATCACTGACACACAGCTTTTATATAAACCTACTAAAGAAATTTTGTCAGAAGTCTTCATAACTAAAGTAGAATATACCTCTATGAAAAACTGTGCCTCATGGGTTAAAATTTATACATGTTACAAAATTCCAGTCAAGGATTTGGAGATTTAGAATCCATAAGTTCAAAATGGTAAATGTTACCGAGTACTGACCATCCTGTAGGTTGGTTGTTGTTATTGTTGTTGTTGTTATTTGGGCTATGAGTGGCACTTTCCACAATCTTTTGATTTTATTTGTGGTGTTGCTATTTTTTCCTGATTATTACTTGTACTGACAGTTGCCCAACAATATCTGTTTGCCCTGGCTTAGAGCATCTATACTGTAAAGGTTAACCTATACTTATTTATATTTATTTAGAGGAAATGGAGGATTGGCATTAAGGACACAAGGCTCTTAGGATATATTATAGTTAGAGTATTTGTATAATTCATCTAATGTCATATGTATTTATTTAAGAGATAAGGAAAATGGATATTAGGGCCCTAAAGTAAAATTAAGCTTTTCTTTTATATTGCAGCAGGGCACTAATGGAATAACCTGTGAGTTTAGAATAGGTTACGTGTGTTCTATATATAAGTATGCCTTTTAGGGGTGAAGCCCTATTGTGAGCTACAGTCTTTAGCTAAGGTAGACTATGACAAGCCTAGCTCAGAATTAAAACAGGATTGGTATCTTTATGAGTATGTTTATTGTATGTAGTCTATATGTGTTTTAGGGAGCAGGAGGAATTTTGGAGGAGAAAAGTTAAACCCCATATGTCACAGTGAAAGTTTTTATTGCTATGAATATGAAGAGTTAAATAGTCTGTTGTTCTTTTATAATATTCTTATACTTTATACTTATTATACAGGGCTGATATTTCTGATATTCTTATTCTATTCCTTATTGTAGGAAAATCATTAATGTACTCAATATACTAAATTGTCCACAGAAGAGAGTACTGCCATATGAAGGTCACATTAACAAATGCATCATTCATACATTTATTTGACACCTAAATTTCTTCACTGTACTATTGTTTTGTTTAATGTCTTAATACATAGATGGCTCCACCAGTCCTCAGCCACCAAAGAGTCAGTTAGTAGATCTCGTACCCTTACCTGATTTCACCTTTCCTTGAGTTTTCGGGAAAAATATTTTTTTTACTAATGCTACCAATATCAGTGCTGTTATTATCATTGTAGATATTATAATTATTATCAAGTTGTCAATGTTACTAATAACAATATAAGATAAAAGAAAATACTTCTGGAAATAAGGGAAAAGGGTAAATAGATGAGATAGGTAATACTAATAATTGACTTGTTTTTAAATGCAGAGTCATCTATGTGTAAAGACAGTTAATAAACCAGATTCACAGTGGGTATGGCATGTCCATACATCACATGCATAGATTCAGAAGTTAAGGTTCATGGTACATTTGGCACAAGGGCATGAGTTATCAGTTATTTTATTGATACAAAATGATGATACATTTTGATGAATTGATGGTTATTTAATGATAAGTATTGAGTTTTGATGATGCACCTCAAATGATTGGTTATGTGTTTTTTATTTTGTTCATGTTTTATTCAGTTTGGTTATTTTCTATTGAAACAGACTTTTGGTGAGTCAAGATTTACTCATTTAGGTCAGAAACCAAATGATAGCATCAGACTAAACAATAACCATACTGAAATGCCTTTCCAGATAAGACAGAGAAATCTAACAACCTTTTGTGTATTACAACGTTTATGTATGACATGAAATTTTTGAAGGTACAGGATATACCATCACTTTTAAATTTATCAGTAATGTCAGTCTATATAACCACAGTGTTCTGTGTATTGTGTTTTTTGTTAATCACAAACACTATGGGTATGAACTTTGTCAAAAAAAAGAATGACCCAATGTTCTTATTCCCAGTGAAAATTTGTTGATACAGGAATGGTTGAAATGGTAGAGTGTATAGGAGAGGGGAAGAGAATGGGAATTAATAAGAATGTATATGCTTATCTACCTTATCCACAATGTGATTTGTCATAAAGTAGCAGATTAAATGGGTTTTGTACTCAGGTTTTTTATTTTTTCAGTAAAATTTTTGATAGGGGTTGATAGGACTGCTAGTAATTTCTGTTAAATTTTATATTACTTGATTTTTCAAATAGGATGAGAAATGCTGAGTAGATTTTTTCAGTCTAATAGATGATGATTAATTATGTTTGTCTGCATGTTTTAATAAGACTCGTTTTTTTCTCTGCTCCTTCATCACTTTATCATTATATTTATGTCTTTTCCAGTATTTTTTATCAGTTACTATCATTTGTATGATTATCAGTGTATTATTGATGTTACTGATTATTTTGAGTGTGATAACCTTAGGATTCCTTATCATTTTTGTAGAATCAGTGATTTTATTTCAATATCCTTTTTTTAAAAGGTTATTAAGAGTGAGGTGAATGCAGGTATTGGTAACTTTCTGAAAAGAAGACTATTGGCCTTATTTTATGCATTCATTATTGGACAAACCCTTTTATGTCATGAAAGTTTATTTTATCTTATAAGGAAAGTAAAATTTTGGCTCATCTGAAAGATATATAATAACTTGCAGACTGATAGGTAGTATCATAATTGCTTGATGCTGTCAGTGTAGATGTGCCTCACAACATATGCAAAGTTTTTATGCACAGCTGTTATTCTAAATTCTGCTGAACACCTGTGGATCTTTGCTATTGGTTGTCTTGCTAACAAATTCCGTATTTCATCAGATTATCTTCAGAGAGACGCAACTTGGGATTTTTACCATCATCTATAAGTCAGATAGTATAGGCAAGTGACAGTATAATACACAATATTTGCTAAATTGCTTTAACTGCGTCACATAAATTGGCCAGATATAAAAGTGTTTCATATTCAGAACTTGATTAACAAGGGTAAATGTAATATGTATCCTTAAATCAGTTTAAAATTATGTCAACGAAGTACGACAGTAATACTGTAATTTGAAAAAAAATTTGTGTCTGTCTCCTTTTCTCTTTTCCTTTTTAGTCCATTAAGTCTGCATTTATATGTGAGCATTAGTTTGTAAATTCATGTCTATGTGAATGTTCATGAATCAGTGCAAGTGTGTGTGTGTGTGTGTGTGTATGCGTGTGTGTGTGTGCATGCTTGTGCGTGCTTGTGCATGTGTGTGTGTGTGTGTGTGTATGTGTTTGTCTGTTTGTACACCGTTATAAGTATCTTTTTGTGTTTGTGATTTAGAAAGGATGATTTTGTTGTGTCATTTATAATTATTTTGGTTGTAGATAAATTAAATTGAAATCCATAAATCACAAAATGAAATACCAGCAAATAAGAATACAGGAAGTTAATGGTTTTATTCAACAGAGCCATAAAAAATTTTGGATACCTTTCTTATTAATATTGTTGTTGTTATTGTTATTATTATTATTATTACTGTGACTATTATTATTATTATTATTATTATTATTATTATTATTATTGTTATTTTTATTGTTATTGTTATTATTAATTCTATTCTTTATTGCATCTATTTTATCATTGTCCATGAAGTGAATGTAATATATACAATGTTTTTATTAGATTTTGTTATTTTTCATGTGATAAAACAACTAAGAATAGTGTTATCAATTTTATTGTTGTTATTACTGTTTTTATTATTATTATTTTTATTAATATTATCATTATTATTATTATTATTATTATTATTATTATTATTATTATTATTATTGTTTGTATATTAAGAGAGAAAGTGACTTTTTTGTCATTAAGTAGTATCATAACTATTGTTATCATTATCAGAAGTAATGTGTTTATTATCATAATTATTATTGTTAATATCAATATTACATTAATCTATGAATTCTGAATTCTTAATCCAGGTAATGCCTTTTGATAATGATGATTTTTCTTCTTCTTCTTCTTCTCCTTCTTTTTCTTCTTCTTCTTCTTCTTCTGTTTCAAATTATCAGAATATCATCCCATCCCTTCTCCGCCAGGTCCAACATCAACATAAACGACATCCTAGGCGATTATTCTCTGACCCTGATTGACGCCCTAGACACACTCGCAATTCTCGGAGATGCAGTTGAATTCCGGAGAGCCGTGCAGCTGGTCATTGAGAACGTCACCTTCGACAAGAATTCAACGGTGCAAGTCTTCGAGGCCAATATTAGGTATGAAGTCTTAAGATGTGCATTTATACAGTTTATATTGCCTTTTGGGGTAATTGTGTGTGTGTGTGTGTGTGTGTGTATGAATATTTATGTATGTATGTAAGTATATGTATATATCTGTATGTATGTAATTATATGTATATGTCTGTATGTATGTAATTATATGTATATGTCTGTATGTATATATATATATATATATGTATATATGTCTATGTATGTATGCATATATATAATGTATACATATATACATACATATATATATATATATATATATATATATATATATATATATATATATATATATATATATATATATATATATATATATATATATATATATATATATATATATATATATATATATATATATATATATATATATATATATATATATATATATATATATATATATATATATATATATATATATATATATATATATATATATATATATATATATATATATATATATATATATATATATATATATATATATATATATATATATATATATATATATATATATATATATATATATATATATATATATATATATATATATATATATATATATATATATATATATATATATATATATATATATATATATATATATATATATATATATATATATATATATATATATATATATATATATATATATATATATATATATATATATATATATATATATATATATATATATATATATATATATATATATATATATATATATATATATATATATATATATATATATATATATATATATATATATATATATATATATATATATATATATATATATATATATATATATATATATATATATATATATATATATATATATATATATATATATATATATATATATATATATATATATATATATATATATATATATATATATATATATATATATATATATATATATATATATATATATATATATATATATATATATATATATATATATATATATATATATATATATATATATATATATATATATATATATATATATATATATATATATATATATATATATATATATATATATATATATATATATATATATATATATATATATATATATATATATATATATATATATATATATATATATATATATATATATATATATATATATATATATATATATATATATATATATATATATATATATATATATATATATATATATATATATATATATATATATATATATATATATATATATATATATATATATATATATATATATATATATATATATATATATATATATATATATATATATATATATATATATATATATATATATATATATATATATATATATATATATATATATATATATATATATATATATATATATATATATATATATATATATATATATATATATATATATATATATATATATATATATATATATATATATATATATATATATATATATATATATATATATATATATATATATATATATATATATATATATATATATATATATATATATATATATATATATATATATATATATATATATATATATATATATATATATATATATATATATATATATATATATATATATATATATATATATATATATATATATATATATATATATATATATATATATATATATATATATATATATATATATATATATATATATATATATATATATATATATATATATATATATATATATATATATATATATATATATATATATATATATATATATATATATATATATATATATATATATATATATATATATATATATATATATATATATATATATATATATATATATATATATATATATATATATATATATATATATATATATATATATATATATATATATATATATATATATATATATATATATATATATATATATATATATATATATATATATATATATATATATATATATATATATATATATATATATATATATATATATATATATATATATATATATATATATATATATATATATATATATATATATATATATATATATATATATATATATATATATATATATATATATATATATATATATATATATATATATATATATATATATATATATATATATATATATATATATATATATATATATATATATATATATATATATATATATATATATATATATATATATATATATATATATATATATATATATATATATATATATATATATATATATATATATATATATATATATATATATATATATATATATATATATATATATATATATATATATATATATATATATATATATATATATATATATATATATATATATATATATATATATATATATATATATATATATATATATATATATATATATATATATATATATATATATATATATATATATATATATATATATATATATATATATATATATATATATATATATATATATATATATATATATATATATATATATGGGGAAATAAAGATTGGTCACTTGGGCCAACTGATAGACTCCTTGCTGGTTGAGCACATGTGGAGTCATCTGTATGTAACAAAATTCATAAAAAAAAAAACTACAGGGGACAGAACATAAACCTGTGGTGGTTGAGTTAACCCCTTGGTGCCGGGTATGACGTGTACGTACGTGCTATGCCCACCATGAGTACTTGTTTGATTGTTTTTCCACATAGATGGCAACACTTGTACTAACTCCCCAATGAGCCAACTACAAGTACTGCCTGTCTCGCCCGTGTACCCGTTTCTTTGATTTACAAAATATTTTACGTTATCTTATTTTGCTGTTACTAATGTTAAAAAACATTATAAAAATTATAATGTTTATGATAAAAATAACACCATCGATTTTCATAGCACTACTCAAAAATACGTTTTTCCCGCCATTTAAATCAGGCACTAGCAGAGCCATCTATCGGCAGACATAGAAAGTGGGCTCAATATTTTCCCCATTTTTTGTTAATTTTCCCCGGCACCATTGGGTTAAAAAGAGAAAAATCCGTTTTCTCCCCCTAAGGCTACTGGGAGCCTTACTGTCAGCCCACCTCCTCATCCTTGACAAGAGCAAGCCCTTTGGAGACCTGGAGCCGGAGTGGTACGATGGCGAACTCCTTGAGATGGCCTCAGACCTTGCCTCGAGACTGCTTCCGGCCTTTGACAATTCCAAAACAGGCCTCCCCCACCCTAGGGTATGTGAAGATTGTGGAAGCAAGAATTTCCCTCGCTTGATCATAAATGTTTGATGTAAAGTTTTGTTTATTATTATGACCAGATTAGATATTGCCAGAAAAGACTATTTAACCTTGTATTCATTGTCAAAGTTTGTACGGTTTTGAGATAACAAAGTTATTGCCATTATAATTATTACACCATTATAATTGTAAATATATTTTAACTTTTTACAGTATAATTAGTCCTGTCATTTACAAATGCATGTCAAATACTGTATGATCTGATTGAAATAGAAGTTATGTATACTAAGTTATGATAGTCAATGTAGTCAAACACTCCTATTTGTGCAGTCATGCTCTAACATTCACAATATAACATTAACAGTTTATTATACTACTTAGAACACAGCATTGGATTCAAAACATAACAATGTACCATTTACAACATAATAAAACATCCTATCTCAGTAATCACACTCATCCAGTGTCACATCAACCCCTCCAGGTGAACTTGCGCGATGGTGTACCCAAGGGTAGTCGGACGGACACATGCACAGCAGGAGCAGGAACTCTCTTAGTAGAATTTGGAGTTCTTAGTCGCCTCATTGGAGACCCAGTGTATGAGATGTCAGCCCGGCGAGCCAACAAAGTGCTGTGGAACCTGCGGAATGCAAATACTGGGCTCTTCGGTAAGTAGGATTGCAATCTGTCAGAAAAAGGTGACATTGGTAAGATATTTTTGTTGGTCTAACAGTCACTTGTTGAGGCTTTATTTTATTTTATTTATTTATTTATTTATTTATTTATTTATTTATTTTTATTTTTTATTATCATCATCATCATCATCTTCCCCCCTGTTCTTCTTTCCATAACATATGAAAGAGGGAGTTGTAGTTTTGCAAATGATTGAAAATATGATTTATAGAAACAATGCTGTTTACCATTTATTATACCATGACTGTCTTCTTCATTCCACTATCATGATCTAAACTGATCTGTCCATGATTTGTTCTAGTTTGAAAATATTTTCATTTATTTCATCACCATACTTTTTAATATTCTGTTTATGTTTTATTATCAGTCCTTTCCTTTCTGCTTTAACCCTTTATTTTGCTTTTGATGTGTTTATCCAGCCTCTGTTCTATCTTCACATACAGTAGACCTCACTTCCTTTCATTCCACTATGAAAGGAAGTGTAATAATACAATCCTATAATTATAATCAAGAACATCATCCAACCTGACAGTGCAAAATACCTGTACACTAAAAATGGCAGAGCATACTTTTTTTTTTTCTCCATAATCCTCACATGCTTCACAGCTGTACTACTTTGTAACTTTCAGCATGACTCGAGCTTATGCACGACTGTTAAATTAACCCTTTTCTATTTTTCTGCTCTTCCTCTAGACCATATGGTTTTAGAAAATGATCGACTACTAAAACACTTAAACACACTGACTTATAAAAAGGAAGTGGGAAAAATCCATGGAGCAATAAGCTACACATGGGGTTGAATTGATGTAAACAAAAAATAGACATGATGCAGCGGCTCATGTCCAGTGTTGCACAGGTTTTCTCTGTTTCTTACAATGAAAATCTCTAAAACCAAGGTCTGATTGTATTGCCCTTCAATGCATCACTTACCTAATTTTCTTTCATTCCGTCATTATTTGCCTTTCTCACCTTCATTCCACTATCACCCTTTCTATACATCCACCCATCCTTTACTCCATCCTCACTGTCCCTCCCTTCTCTCCTTCAGGCAATGTGGTGGATGTGGACACGGGCAAGTGGATGGGGGAGCTGAGTGGAGTGGGGGCTGGGCTGGACAGCTTCTACGAGTACCTTCTCAAAGCTTTCATTCTTTTTGGGGAGGAAGATGATTATTCAATGTTCAATGAGACCTACACACTCGTCAAGCAGTATATGAGGCGAGGGTAAGTATGGATTAGTTTTTTCTTCTTCAATTTTTTTCTCTTTCATTCTTTTTTGTAAAATCTCTGTTCTCAGCTAGCATTCTGACAAGGTTTCTTTCCCTTACTGTTCATCATCTTTTTCTTCTTTATCATCTTTTCTGACATTCTCATCTTCTCCTACTGTGCCTTTATCTGCATTTTGTTTAGCTTGGTTTTTAATCTTTATTTTAGGAATGGACAATAATTAGTGCTATTTATGTATAGGGAACATGATAAATCAGGTGATTTTACATTTATGTGCAACTTCGTTGATACTTAATTCCTGATTCCTATGTTTTCAGTCGGCCACATTGTAATTCTGGGTTTGGCGAGCATCCTCTGTATGTGAATGTTGACATGAAGAATGGAGGAACACAAACTACTTGGATAGATTCACTTCAGGCAGCATTTGCTGGAGTGCAGGTAATCCCTAAAAATTATTCCAGCAAGGCTTTGCATGTCCTATTAGTCAACAGAATCCGTATTATGCTGAATGTGTTATTTGGTTAACATTTCTGTAATCAAACTTTATGTGATTAATTGTTCTAATTAGATCCTCTTCTGAATCAGTGATTCTGATAGAGAATCCCCTTTTTTATTAGTCAGGGCTTATTTTGTATAAAATTAATCTAGGATCACTGTCCACCCTGTAAAAAAGATAAATAAATAGATAAACAAATTTATTTTGGAAAGTTAGTGAACAGTGTACATGAGGAAGAATGCATCTTTTACTTGTCTGTCACTCAGAATCAGGTATGCGTTTGATAATATGGCAATAACAGTATTGTAACAGTATGGCAGCCCATCACAGAGTCCTGCAGCCAGTAAGGACAGGGAGAGGGATGGCAAATAGGAGGGGAAGGGCTATGCTCTTGTTTCTTACTCCTATCTCTGTCCCTTTTTTTTTTTTCTTTTTTTTTGTGTGTGTGTGTGTGTGTTTCTGTGTGTGTTTCTGTGTGTGTCTGTGTGAGAGTGAGTGAGTGAGTGTGTGAGGAAACCAGCTTCCACACAAGATACCACCTCCATCCCTATTTGCTTCCCAGTGTCCACATCTATCTCTCCTCTTTCCTTACTGCTGTTGAACACATTTTACTCTTACATAGTACTAATGAATAACCAAAATACCATAAACACATATTAACCGATGAATAATCATGGTGCAATCATTGAAATACATCTTGTATCTCAAAAGTAGATTTGTTGTTGAAATAATTGCAGAAATTCCTGTATCAGTTAGAATGACTGTATTTTTTGTGATATGGAAAATAGTGAATTTAATTTGGTTTTATAATTCAAAGAAAAATGTTTATGAGGAAGGAAATTGTTATTGTGACGTGTCGTGAGAGATTTTTGAAAAATAAAGTTTAAATAAAGGCTTGTATGTCAAATATATAACTATTCAGTCAAAAAAGTAAGTATTGGAATTGATTGTTAAAGACACTAGACAGCATTATTACACATAGACAGGCAAGGTATAAAGAATAACTTATGGACATCTGCTATCACTCATTTCTTCCCTACTTCTTTTTCCAAAATATGAACATACCCTTAGAAACAAGAAAAAGAACAGTACCAACACCCAAGAAAATAAACTATCACATATAGTTTCTCCTTCCTTTCATCATCACCTTTCTCTGTCTGTCATAAACACACTTTCCTTGTCTCCCAAATTCCTCTCTGATAGATTAATAGAGAGCTGTTTGTCCCTAGGTTTTAGCCGGAGACATGGAAGAGGCCATTTGCACACATGCCCTGTACTACACAATATGGAAGAAGTATGGGGTTCTGCCGGAGAGGTTCAACTGGCAACGCATTTCTCCGGATGTGATGTTTTACCCTTTGAGACCAGAGTTTGTGGAGTCAACGTATCTCCTATATCAGGTACCTTTCCTCTTCTCTTTTTCTCTTTCTTTTATTTTACCATTTTAGATATAATTTTTCCCCTCCTCTTTGCCTCTTTAAGTTTCAAGGATGCTTAACCCATTGGATCCGGGTGAAGTGACTGTTGTGTCATGAAAAAATCTGGGTCGAGGGGCGGGTGACACGAACATGCCATCATGGGAAAATCTGGCTGTAGGCCAGGTGATGCGAACCTGCAGATGTGAGCATTGCAGCTGAAGACCATGGTAATGGAAAAGACTGGCCACGAGTGCACAAAACTACTGGGAAGTTAATTTTACTCATTTGCTGGTTACAGAAAATTAAACATTACGTAAATATATAAAGATGACAAAAGTAACATAGTGTTACATAGTTTTATTTTTCTTTCACTGCAAGATTAATGGCAAATATGGACATTAGAAAATGGCCAAAAAGCTATAAATGCTTACGTGTAATAAGGGTAAATAAATTTATAAATAGGAGGCACAGAGTCTTGGCATCATGCACACGTGTTCACAAGCAGCCACCCAGCGGAGTGGCCAGTCACATAAGCCTGATGCCTGGATTTTTGGTGATGTGATTGATGTGATACAATGGGTTAAGCATAGCAATGTAGAAGACATATACAACTAGAACTATTTTGTGGGTGTGTCAGATTTTTTTTTTTTTTCTTCTTTTTTCTGTTTGGATTATGAATGCATTTTCCAATTAAAAAGAGAGAAGTACACTTCTGTGGATGGTTGAACCATTGATACTGGGATGGCAAAAATATGTGCTATAGCCACTTGGAAAAAGAAATGAATAAATGAATAACGACACCAATAAAGAGGAATGCTGAACCATACTCATAATCCAATGACTAGCAAAATAGAACCCCCCGGCGCTTGGTTTCACTCCATTATGCAGATGTGAAATTCCTAATCCAAGGCAGAAAGCTGATGACAAACTCTGCTTACTTAAAAGAAAAAAAGAAAAAAAAAATACAATCGGTTAAGTAACATAACATATCAGTGTTAGGTAATTGTGCTGTCCACTGAAATTTTGTTTTGTGAAGTGTTTTTACACCTAGATGGCTCCACAAGAACTTAGTCGCTAAGGATTCATTTACTAGTCCTTCCTTGTTCTCACTTATCAACCCATTTTCTTGATATTCTTGAAAGATTTAATAATTTTATGTTTTATTACTGTTAGCCCTTTTTTTTTTTTACTTAATGTCAATAATGATAATCACAGTAATGTTTGTAATAGCATTAGAAAAGATTAAGAAAGTTCAAGGAATGAAGATATCAGATTAGGTTAGGTAGACCTATTAATTGTCTCCTTGGTGACTAAGCACTTGTTGAGCCACCTGTGTGTAAACAACATTCATAAAACAAAACTACAGTTGCTAGTGCAACAACTTTGCACCATTGGGCTACTACGTGGGCCCCCGCCACGGGATTTTTTCTTGCGCGGCGCGGCTGCACAAAGACCATCATATCAATTTTGCAGTAATCTGTCCATAGATCTTATAGTAAAGTTGGGTTTTATATAAAGGTAATGTGTAGAAATTGCACTTTTCTCATGGTGTTTTCTAGGCACTCTTTCACCTTTGCAATTAGGAGAAATACTGAATTGCTTCCAAATTGCCTATATTTACAGATGACATGAATCCTTTGAGGCTAAAAGTTAGTGTTGTTTTTGAACGATATGGCAAACTATGGACTTTTTTTTTTGTTTTTTTTCAAACTTTCAAATGAAGCAAAATATGCAGCTCAGCAGCAAGCCAAATATCATTTTGATGCTCAGAAGTAGTGCATTGTCCATATGAGAGATCAAACCATGTTTTTTTAAATTTCTTTCAACAGAAAAGGAAGAAAAGCAGAAGTGAATGTAGCTTCACTTTGATGCTCAAAAATAGTTTTGTATTGATATGAGAGGTTAACTGGCATTGTTTTTCTTCAAGTATCCAAGTCAGCAGAATTTCTCATCAATTTTCTGCCTTGGATTAAGAATTTCACATTTGCTATTTGGAGTAAAAGCCAAGTACCAGGGTTTTCTGTTTTGTTAACCCAACACTGACAGGCATGACATGTACATATATGCCATGCCCACTCTGAGTTTACTTTATTACTTGTTTTTACACATAGATGGCTACACTTGTACTAAGTCACCAATGAGCCAGTTACAAGTACTGCCTGTCTCACCAGTTTACATTTTCCTTGATTTTCGAAAATATTCTTACTTTGCTGTTACTAATGTTTATAACATTATAGTAATAATAATGTCTATAATAAGGATAACACCATCGATATTCATAGCATAGTAGTTCTTCCCACCAGTTCAATAAAAGGTAAAATTAGGTAAGGTCACAAGGTCTACTAATTGACTCCTTTGTGGCTAAGCAGAGACATTTCACAAAAGCATAAAAAATGAGCACAGCATTTTCCCCATTTTTTATGCATTTTCCCCTATGACATGTGGTTAATCATTGGGGTATTAGTATGGTTTAGTATTCCTCTTTATTTCTGTATTTATTTATTTGTTTATTTAGTTAGTTATCTTATCACTTTCCAAAACAGCCATCTTTGCTATATACCATTCTCTTCTATAACTATAACTTCCAAACTACAATATTAATTGAATTTGGTTTCATTGATTATTGAGAAGAGGCTGTGAGCCAGAGTATTAGAAAATATTTATTGGACATGCTCTTTTTGGTTTCTAATAAAATGTATTTATTAGGTGTTTGGCTATATTTGCTCACCACAACAGAAACAAAGAGGTCACAATTTTTTTATTCTCTCTTTTCATCTAATAGATTCATTTAAGCAACCATTTAACCTTGTCTCTATACCTTCTGGCAGCAAGCTGTCTCAGTAGCATTGGAAGGGAATGTAGGAGAAGCCTTAGATTTTGCTTGCTATCACACAGGTAAATATTGTCCTTTCTCTAACATCTTTCTTTTTGTAAGCCAAGCTAAGAAGAAAAGAAAGAAATTACAAAAAGAAATGGGGAAAAGGGGTATGAAATAATGTTTTGCCAGGGATTGTTTTAGATAGGTAGATAGTGCTTGGAATGTAGAGTTACTTACAAAGTATGTGCTGCAGGTAAGAAGCTGATGTGCAAATGTGATGATTATCATTATTGCATAGTATTATTAAAGGTTATTATTGCTATTCTTATGATTATTATATTATGTTAATTATATAATCTTTATTATCTTAATCACTTATAATAATTGTTATGAACTTATAATAATTATTATGAACATCATATTATATTAATTATATAATAATTTTTTGAGTTTGGATAGTTTATGTTTGCTCACTCTAACCGTTACTATTTACTTGCAAGCTCACTGTATGAGAATGCTCCTTTTTTTACAATTTCTTATGTAGTAAAGGCAGAAGAATAGCCATTTGTAAAGGATAAAAGGTTATAATGATACAAGTGTGTAAATTATAACAAGATCTGCTAATACAGATGTTTAAGAATAACGAGGTTGTGTATTCCCTTATTAGGCCACACGCAACCCCTTCTACCTACACGTGGGCAGAGATATCCTGACTTCACTGAATAACCTGACGCGGGCGGAGTGTGGCTATGCAACCGTCCACTCAGTGCTTGACATGACACTTGAGGATCGCATGGAGTCCTTCTTCCTCTCAGAGACTTGCAAATACTTGTACCTTGTAGGTCTTCTTTTTGTTTGGTTTATTTGTTTGCATTTTCTGTGTGTGTGTGTGTGAGTGAGAGTGAGAGTGAGAGTGAGTGAATTATTGGACATTCAGTTTTCTAAAGAAGTGTTCTGAGATATATGTAATCATATCATAAATGTTTACGATAATTTTATTAATTTACACATCCTCCATATTTAGCTCTTCGACATAGACAACCCAGTGAACTTGAAGTCTCATCAGTACATGTTCACAACCGAGGGCCACATCTTGCCCCTGGGACCCTGGCTGCGTAAGAAGAGATGGGACGTTGACCTCTTCCAAAATGCCGAGACTGTGATACAAGTCAATGCTTCTCATGCTTCTGTAAGTTGTCATTTTGGTTTTGACTCTCACAGAGTTAGAATGTTAGAGAGTGAGTGTGTGAATATGTGCATGCATAGGTCCATGTGCGTGTGTGTGTGTGTGAGTGTGCGTGTGCGTGTGCATGTGCGTGTGCATGTGCGTGTGCATTTGCGTGTGCATGTGTGTGTGTGTGTGTGTGTGTGTGTGTGTGTGTGTGTGTGTGCGCATGCATGCGTGCGTGTTTGTGTATCATTCTTATTGATATTTTGATTATTATATTGTTATTAAAATAATTGTAACATCAAATACAATAGAATAATAGAAGTGAAGCCTTCAAAAAATGAAGGAAAAGGGTAAACAGATGAGATAGGTGAGACTGATAGCTGATTCCTTGGTGACTAAGCACTTGTAGAGCCATTTATGCATAAAGACAATAATATAAAACCTTTGTTACAGTGGGCATAGCATTGTAGTCCTGCTGCCCACACTCACAGGGTTAAATTTGTCTATGTCTGCATTAGCTTTGGTGTGTATTTCTGTAGTCCAGTAATATTTGTTTCTCTTTCTTCCAGTGTGCAGCAATAGATAAGGAAAGAATTTATGGCCTACCATTAAGAAGTCACTATCTGGAGCAGATCTCAGGAACACTTGGAGTTGAGTTATGATAAAGGATCATTTTAGCATTGGAAGGCTGCCACAAAAGCCTAAAGATATTATAATATAGTGAGTTTAGTGCTGGAAGGAAACAGAGGCTTTTGGGCAAGTGAATGCCGTTGAAGTAACACCATATAATCTTATCCAGGTCTTTTCTGTAGGTATGCCTGTAATCAAAATGTTTGTTTAAGGGTTTTACACCAACTCTGTCTCCTAAGCTTTTTATACATGCATTAGGGTTTGTGTGTTACGTTGGCAGGAAATTTTCCATGGTTGTACAGCATAACACTTTTCCTTTTGAAGTTGATTTTCAGATCATTCTCTTTTTTGCCATTCAAGTTGGGGACCTTTTTGAAAATCTTCACACATTCACATCTTCTGTGAAACTTTTGAAACATTGCAACACGTTTCCTTTTTGTCATGATTACGTTATTACTGTTGGTTGTGGCTCATGTTTAATCTGTCATAATTTTTACACCATACACAGGCAATATCTCGCTAAGTGCCTAAAGTAAATAGGTCAGTAAACTTAAGTAACATTTATTTTCCTACCTGTACAAGAGAAAGTCAGGTAGAATATCATAAAAATACATTAGTCACTCATCATTCCAGTATCTTTTAAGAAACCATTGTAGCCTTTTTTTTACTTGTTAATAATAATAATATATCATATGCAAACCTTCGATGTAATGTAAAATGTTTAAAATATTTTAAGAGAGGAGATGGAAATTTGGTACGAGTTGTTTGCGTAAATTATGGGCGGAAAGTTGGGTATTTTATATGGATATTGATTAAAAATTACATATTTTATCCTTTGCTCTTCTTGGGTTATATGATAAGGTCTTGAAGATAAGAAATGAAGTTTGAAAATGGTAAGAATGGTTTATGTTGTAAGAAATAATGGTTAGCAAGTGTCCAAAGTTCCTTACTTCATTGTATCTTATTCTTTCTTTTAGCACACTGTTATTATGTGTTATAAGTCCATTTGCCTGTGCCTGATTGTACATGTATGCACGTGGCAATACGGTTACTTTTTCTCTTGCCATTATTTCTTCTTTATTTCAAGTTCATTCCACCGGAGTAATGTTAACTGATCTAGTCGGTTGACCTTTCAAAAGCATAGAAGTGATGGAACTGTCATGGAAATTCATATCATTGCAGTCAGCCTTCCTGTTCTTAGCATTAGCACCTAGTAACTGATTTTTGTTTTCAATCATTCCAGGATTTCTAATGACTGTTTAATGAGATCAGCTAAGGTTTCGTGCGTGCAAAGGTTTGTTTAGTTTGATTTTGAACAAAGGTAAATGCATATACCAACCATTTATTTCCAGCAAATGGATCAATGACATGAAAGTGGTCATAAAAGAAAAAGAAAAAATATCATTGCTGTCTTAAAGTCATTACTTTTCCTGCTTTTTCCTTCTTGCTTTCTTACTTACCAACTCGTTATATATATATATTTTTTTTATATAAGGTATATAGCAGCTTTCATTATAAGTCACATGGAGATTAACAGAACTGGAGAGAGAATTGTTTGTTTGTATGTTTTGAAAACTCTGAAAAAATTAGAAGAAAGAAAGAAAAAAAAGATATGAGATTGCTTTGTGTTTGATTACAGTTTGTTTGTTTGTTTTTTGTGTGTTAAATTATGTAGTCCCATCACATTGTATGTCATTTTTTTACAATCCAAACATCAGGTTTTGCTCAACATTTGATACTTCCAATGAAATTCCCTCACATCTCACCATTAAGAAGTAGGAATTTTTATAGTCATTTTAAATCATCAAATTAAATGTCATCCATAACATATTTATTAACTGTATATTCACTCATTGAAAATACCTTTTTGTATAACTTAAAAAAAAAAAAAAATGTTCTCTAGGTTTATTCACCAGTAAAAGTAGCTATCACTTTTCTAGACTTAAAAGATATTTTAGAAAGACTAGTCTCAGATATGCATTCCATAGTCATCCAAGCAAATGTGGCCCTCATAAACTACTTCACAAGGAAAAGAAATATTAGTGATTAGTTGATAATATTTATAAAATCTGTAAATTAGGCTAAAATAATGTTAGATTTGCAAAGAAGGATTATTATTTGTTGATATTCATATTTTTTGAAGTTTTATCATGATGTTGATATTTTTATTATTATTGTTATTATTATTATTATTATTATTATTATTATTATTAAAATCATCAGCAGCATTCTTACTAATAATGTTATTATCATTATCATCACTGTTATTATCATTATTATCGTGATCATCATCATCATCATTACTACTACCTGTGGTTGTTTAATGGAGAGTGTTTTCATAATATTCTTCTGTACCGTAAAAAGAAAAGGTTACTTAATGTTTATTTCAAGAGAAATAAATGCCTCGACTAATTGGGAAAATTTTCATATGAAGTTTTAAGTAGCTTTTGAAAGAAATGGATTTAGTGTTGAAACCTATGTTAAAGCAATATTTTATTTGATGTTCTAAATATATAAACCTAAAATTTTTAAATTTATGTATCAGAAAATGAATGAAGGTTGATTTATATTTTTCAAAAGATTATTTATTTACAACTCCATACTGACATAGTTTGTGTTGTCACAAAACTGCATTGTTTCACAATCCTAATTTCATTATCTTACTGTAAATTTTTATATATTTGAGGTAAGACCATATTTTCCTTTCTCTTAGTTTCATATTGTCCTGACTTTTGTTTCTGTAGCTTGTTGTGCATCCGTTCAGAGGTTTATTAGATTTGATTTATACCATTTAAAAGGTTTTGTTGTGTCATATACAATATATATGATAAAGTATGTTTCAAGAGATTGCACTGTCATTGGGATGAGTGTCCTTACTTTTGTTTATGTCACTGCAGAGAATAGTGATATATTTCGAGTTAAGTGAGTAAAAAAAATCATACACAGGCATATATGCTCAAATTCTTACTAATATTAAAACAAACAAAAACACACACACACGCACGTACAAGTGCGTGCACGTATGTACGTGTGTTATGCATCTCAGTCTTGTTGATTGTGATACAGTCTTGCATATATGATTGCATGCACTGATAATCAGAACTTTATTTCTTCAATGATATTGGTATAAGAATTAAGTATAGAAAAAGTGTAAGGTTTTTTACTTTATTTATTATAAATACTATTGAGAAAAAATAGAAGTTAAGCAAATGTCACTGTGAATAACATTGAAAAGTGCCTTTAACTTTTTCCAACATTTGATAACATAGAAATGGCAATATTTTTATGTAGCTTTTATGTAATTAAATATTTACTTATCACATTAACAAGTTACTATTGTTTATTTTTGTTGTTGAGTATTGAAGTCTTTGCTTACTTACTTACTTACTTTGGTATGTAAATAAGTAATTATTCAATTTTAAAAATATTTTTTTTGTGTGAAAATGCAGATATATGTTTTCTTTGTTTGATTATATGATAAAAGAAAGCTTGCACCACACTGACAGAAAGTTATCAGTTATTTTTGCTTATTTGTAAGTGTTTTGATTCAGTTCACAATATGTAAATATCATTTCCAGCAATTCCGTGGCAAACATAGCCATTCTCTGTAAGTTATGGAAAGACTAATCTAATATCTAAGTTACTTAATAAATACATTCTGTGATAGGAAATATTCTTCTAGAGAGAAATAAGAGCATCAACAACTGACACAGTAATTATTTTTAGATGCAAAAATAAAGATGCAATCAATTTCTTCATGATGTTAATTTGTTTATGCATAATGATTGAAAATAGCTAGAGAGAATTTTCATAAATACTAATCATTATGGAAGAAATGTAAATATAAAATGAAAACTTGAATACAGAACTTAGAAAAATCAATATACATAGTACCATTTTTTTTGTGCATAAACTTGAAAGCCTTCACAGAACTGCAGTTAAGTAAAGAATGTACCTTTTTGATAATATGAAAGAATGATTATACATTCCTGTTCAATACAGAATTACTACATATGCAATAAAATGTATATTGCTCACCATTTTCATATAAAGATCTGCAAATTCAAAAGTAGTTTACTCAAAATGGTATTGTGAAAATATACCATGGATTCTTGTGCAATAATTTCCAAAGATAAAATAACTGGTAATGTGGTGCCAAGTATATTTACTAAAAGTCTAAAGCTAGTTATTTCAAAAAATATATATAGATGACCTCGAGATATTCATGATAATCATTGCAGTGTACCTTTGTGCAGATGTCTGTATAAGAGAGTGCTTGATAAATAAAAGTTTACTTTTATATTACGAAATGACTGTTTTATTTCTCCCTAGTTTCTCATAACACATGGATGGTAATTTGAGGATGTAAGTAATAATATACAGTGGTTTTTAATATGAAATGTGAATAAAAGACAATGACTTTCCGAAAATAAATAATAGGTAACAGAAAAATGAACTAGTTCTGCAAGCACTTACAAATTAAAGTTTGCATATCACTGAAGGATGAAATTATATCACTGATTGTGTTATGATCTTACCTCGTCTCAACAGGTTTCAGTCTGTCATACATTAAAATATGAAAAGGAGATAAAACCTCACTAATCAATCAATCAATCACTTGCTTCTTCCTTTTACTGTTGAATTGTTCCTTGAATCATATGTTATATAAATATGGTTCACCTCTCAATCCCATTCCCATCTTATAGTGGGGGGTCATGGGAGACGAACTAAGGCCCTTATCCAGCCATTTCTACCGTCCAATCCCTAAGGTATAAGAGCCATGTTGAAAGGATGAAAGACCAACTTTGTGTCAATCCTGAACACCCTTGAGAAGACATGGGCAATCTAACCATTTCTTTTTCACACATACTTCAGGCACACCATAGATAATAATGAAGATTTTGTGCCTGTATTAGGGAAATTAAGGCTTGCTCCTTCATTAACTAGCCTATCAGAATTTGAGTTCTCTGGTTTCTTAGACTTTGCTTCTCCTTTGCTCCAACCATTACTACTATTCCATCCTCAAGGCTTGATGTCAACTTGATGCATTCCAAGTCATCCACTCTCCTCAAATTCTTTTGTCATTTTAATTTTAGATACTCCAGTCCTTACACATTCCCTGTAGCTACCCCTCCTCCTCACTTTACCTGTTGCAACAAGCAATCTCCTCCTATCACATTCAGTCCATCTTCTTCCTCTGCTCCTCTGACATTTGTCTCTTCTCCTCTTAAGAAAACCTTCATTTCTCAGACCTCTCCACCCTATTCCCCCCCGGAAACTCTCGAGGACATCCAAAACTTCCTAAACATGACTCAAGAGAATGTTTCTCTCTCATCCCTCTACATTCACCACTCATTTTTTTATATTTTTGTGAAATGTCTCTGCACATAGATGGCTCTGCTAGTGCTTAGCCACAAAGGAGTCAATTCGTTTACCTTGTGACCTTACCTAATTTCACCATTCCTTGATCTGGTGGGAAACATGTATTTTTTACGAATTAGGATAAGTGAACATAACAAGGGGATGAAAAAAGGAAAAGGAAAGGAGAAGGAAAGACCATACAAAATTTGTTGAGGCAAGGGCTCAGGACCAAGGTAGGGGTGATCACCTACACTGGACCTCAGTCAGTCTCCGAAGACCCCTTATAACAACAACGAGCAAAGGATTGGAGGGGGGCCTTACCTCTCTTTCTGCCACTCTCGTAAAACACCTCATCCATCTGTACCATCCCTCTTCTTTCCCCATTATCACTCCGTCCCTCCTGCACGCTCATATGACTCGTGTCCTTCTCCGGATCCTTCCCCTCCTGACATTCTTTTAGATACTTCCAATTTCCTTGTCTCATTCCTCAAGTTTTTCTCCTCTTACACCCATTTATACCCTTATTACCTGTTGATTTCTTCATAGTGGCTCTTAAACACTGAGTTCCTCGTGCAGTGTTCCTCTTCCTTCCTCAGATACAGATACTCTCCATTTGATCTAATTGCCTTTGCCCTTAATTCCCCATCTTACTCCATTTATTACCCTCCTTACCCTTTACACTTACATATTATCCTATAGTGTTCTATGTCCTTTGACATATTTTTTCCTAATCATTAACTAAATTTACCCTTTTTACCACAATACTATCACAGTGCTATATGACCTTTAACCCATTGCCGCCAGGGAAAAAGAATAAAAGATGGGGGAAAATGCTGTGCTCATTTTTTATATTTTTTTGTGGAATGTCTCTACACATAGATGGCTCTGCCTTACTTGATTTCACCTTTCCTTGAATTGGCGGGAAAATGTATTTTTTACTAGTGCTATAAATATCGATGGTATTATTTTTATTATAAACATTATAATTACTATAATGTTTTCGAAAATTAAAGAAAAGGGTGAATGGGCGAGACAGGCAGTTCTCGTAATTGGCTCATTGGTGACTCAGTACAAGTGTAGCCATCTATGTGTAAAAACAATCAAATAAGTAATCTCACAGTGGGCATGGCATGGGTTAATGTCTAACAGTTATTTGTCTCAACCTAACCCACTCCCGACGGGCATGGCATGTACATACATGCCATGTCCACTGTGAGTTTACTTGTTTAATTGTTTTTACACATAGATGGCTACACTTGTACTAAATCACTAATGAGCCAGTTACGAGAACTGCCTGTCTCCCCCGTTTACCCTTTTCTTTAATCTACGAATATATTTTACGTTATCTTATTTTGCTACTGTTAATATTTATAACATTATAGTAATTATAATGTTCATAATAAAAATTACACCATCAATATTCATGGCACTAGTAAAAAATACATTTTCCCACCAATTCAAGGAAAGCTGGAATCAGGTAAGGCAGGGTCATCTATGTGTAGAGACATTTCACAAAAAATAAAAAAAATAAGCACAGCATTTTCCACATTTTTTATTCATTTCCCCCAGCAGCAATGGGTCAACCATAAAAATTTGTTTGATTCTATTTAAGTTCTATTTAATATGGTTAAGGTTTCTGATCATGCCCAAAAGAAAGTCTATATATAAAAAAATCATATATTTATCCGCATCCACACCATGTCTTGTGGTTATCACCTTCACCAGGCAAGGTCTGTTAACTATACCCATGACTACAGCCAGGTTTATGAGTTTCCAGTAATACCAGTAATTGGTAACAAAGTGTAGTATTGCCAGAGATTTCACTCAACTACAGGCACAGACACTCTACCATTCTGCTTATCAAACTTAAATGATGACAGGCCTTCACTCTAGCTTTCCATCTATAACAGACATGGGAGCAATTTAATATATTAATGAGTTTTTGTATTTGTATCAGAATATCTTTTTTCTCTTGATATAGGATTGAATTCTGGTGGTGGGGGGAAAAAAAGCTAATACTATTAACAGCTGTTTTGTAATGTCTAAGTTTCCATACAGATTGGGTCATGTACCTATATTACTTAAATTCCAGATATAACAATACAAAATCTGAGATTAAGTACAGACAAAGTTTTGCACAGTGTAAATCATTTTGTATTTTCTGCTGGCCTTTTGTTTAAAATAATTAATGAAAAATTGTTTAAAACACTGCTTTCCATAACACTGAACTGCAATTTTAAGGGAAGCAAAGACTGAAATAAATATATATAATTAGGCTTAAACACATGTATTTTCTAATGTGATCAATTAGTCTGCCAGATTACAATAACCTACAGATTTTAAAATTTTACAAATTAAAAACTCAATACAATTTAATTGTGACTTACATTTTGGTATATAAACCAAGACATTTTTTTTTTTTTTTAATACACATTGGTACAGCTGTTCTCTTGAACACTTCATTCATAGCTGATTTTTAAAGCAGTCCTTCATAACAGACATACAACAGCACTCTCAAATTCACCAACATAAAAAAGCATCAAAATAATTTAACACACATACCTTTACATGTAACAGCTTTCATACTCTACAATTAGAATTTCCCAACTAAAAGAACAACAAAACAGGTCAGTCCTTTTATCCATATCAATTACTACCATGTTGTTCTTCCTTCTCAATATTTGTGCATGATTAAACATAACCAAAGATTTTTTTCCCAATAAATAATAGTAATTCCACATGAATCAAAGTTTACTACTCACTGGTATTCAAAAAACCAAATGAATAAAAATATTTGTCATATAAACCCCCCAGGTTTTCATTGAAGCTTCAAAAATGAATAAGAATAAAAAGAATATTGACATCCACTCTAACTCTCCCTCCTTGATATCAAAGCAGAGTTTTGATTTACGCTTGCTTACCAAGAAAATGTGTACCAGTTCAAGTCTTGTTAAACCGTGAATCTTGATACTCCATGGTAGAACTCTCCAGTACCCTGTATTTTGGTTGCTGTCCTTTCTCGTTTTTTAAATTCTATCTTAGCGCTTTTCCAATGTCCGCATCAAAAGATATATCCTAGAAGTCGCCACGTTTCAAGTCTTGTTCAAAATAAAACGAGTGGTCGGCTTCAAATCATTGCACGTCATATGCGGTACAGACACCAGCTTTTAGAAAAGTCCTGAAGCAATTTTCAAAGAGACTACTTTCAAATGTCGCTCAGATCAATGGCATCAACTCGCTCTTCCATTTCAACCTCTTCCGCTTTCTCGTCGTCTGTCTTGTTTTCTGAAGGTAGTTCTCGCTCTATGTACAGGTTCTTCCAGCTCTTCGGCTCTCCTTTCCTGAGTTTAATCTCTACCTTTGAAGCAGCCAAGGTTACACTACTCTGAGCCGGATCAATCAACTGCAGAAGAAGAAGAAGAAATAAAAAAGAACTTATTATGCATCAATTAAAGTTCATAGCAAATGCCCATTAATAATTCATAGGTACAAAGATGAAAAAGTCAAAACTAAAAATGTGTACCTCTTCAACAAGAAGAAGAAGAAGAAGAAAAAGAAGAATTGGATATTCAATATTTGGATGTGTGTGTGTGTGTGTGTGTGTGTGTGTGTGTGTGGTGTGTGTGTGTGTGTATGTATGTATATGTATGTATATATATGTATATGTATGTATATGTATGTATATGTATGTATATATATGTATATGTATGTATATATATGTATATGTATGTATATGTATGTATATATATGTATATGTATGTATATGTATGTATATATATGTATATGTATGTATATATATGTATATGTATATGAATATGTGTATTTATATGTATATGTATGTATATGTATGTATATGTATGTATATATATGTATATGTATGTATATATATGTATATGTATGTATATGTATGTATATATATGTATATGTATGTATATGTATGTATATATATGTATATGTATGTATATGTATGTATATGTATGTATATGTATGTATATGTATGTATATGTATGTATATGTATGTATATGTATGTATATGTATGTATATGTATGTATATGTATGTATATGTATGTATATGTATGTATATGTATGTATATGTATGTATATGTATGTATATGTATGTATATGTATGTATATATATGTATATGTATGTATATATATGTATATGTATGTATATATATGTATATGTATGTATATGTATGTATATGTATGTATATGTATGTATATATATGTATATGTATATGAATATGTGTATTTATATGTATATGTATGTATATATATGTATATGTATGTATATGTATGTATATATATGTATATGTATGTATATGTATGTATATATATGTATATGTATGTATATATATGTATATGTATGTATATGTATGTATATATATGTATATGTATGTATATATATGTATATGTATGTATATATATGTATATGTATGTATATGTATGTATATATATGTATATGTATGTATATGTATGTATATGTATGTATATATATGTATATGTATGTATATATATGTATATGTATGTATATATATGTATATGTATGTATATATATGTATATGTCTACATATGTATGTATGTATATTATGTATATGTATATGTAGATACATGTGCATGTGTATATATGTATGTATATATAAGTATATATATGTATGTGTGTATATATCTGTATATAAATATATATACATATATAAATATATATACATATATAAATATAAATATAAATATAAATATAAATATATATATATATATATATATATATATATATATATATATATATATATATATATATATAAATAAATATATAAATAAATATATAAATAAATATAAATATAAATATAAATATAAATATAAATATAAATATAAATATAAATATAAATATAAATATAAATATAAATATAAATATAAATATAAATATAAATATAAATATAAATATAAATATAAATATAAATATAAATATAAATATAAATATATATATATATATATATATACGCTAAAAATTCATAAGAGAGTCCAGCATACTCACCCCCTGCAGCTCAAGATCCAATTCAAATAGATTGTCTCCCCCAAACACAATGTAGGCCATGAGTCTGATGGGGTTCACCTCTACATATGTGGTAGCAGGTACAGAAAGCTTGGCATAAACTGACACAATAACATGTGTGCCAGTCTGGTGCCAGTCGTAGCGACAGGAGGCAACTTTTCTAGCTTCCTAATTGGAAGAGAAAAGAAAAAAATAAATAAACAAATGAATATTTTGATATTCATATACATCTATAACAGCATTAACAATGAGGAGCAAAAATATATGTAAATATAAAAGCCTATAAACTAATAAATACTTTAGGTAACAATTAAGGTAGCAAGTTCCTTACTGAATGAAAACCTAATACCTTTTCTTATAACTTTAACCAGTTGATGAAGGGATTACATGTATTTATGTACTGTCCATTTGAGATGTTATTTTATTAATTATATTTACTCATAAATGGTTCCACGTGCCATTAGTCACGGAGAAGTTACTAGTTACTAGACCTCAACTTTACCCTTTTCCTTAAATACTCTACCAGTAATGGATTTATAACAGTAATGATGATGATGATAGCAACATTTTTTTTCTAGAAATTTAAATAATAGGGCAAAAATGCAAGATTAACTAAGCCTAGTAAATTGTCTCTTGGTTACTATGGAACCATGAAAGTATAAAGAAAATTATCCCCTACAATCTGGATGATGTGACCATCATGTCATGAAAATTTTGGCTTGAGTGCCAGATGACATGAAAATGCCGTCATAGGAAATTTGGTCGTGAGAGCACAAACCTCTTGTAGGGTGATTAGACTCATGTGGCCTTTAGAAAGGGTTTTTTGCATTATTTCCATCAATAAATGAGTGGGGAATGTGAATATAACTGGAAGAGTGTCAGCTCCAGGGAGGACACAATTTCCATGCTAAGCATCCTATTCCTGGCCATTGTGGCCAGTGGTGCAGTTTGTATTACAAAAATTGAATATTAAAAAGATAAATAACAAGTTACTTATTGATAATATTCTTGCACAGAGTTATGGACTACCTAGAGAGGTGATAAGGAGTCGGTGCAAGGAAATTAGTCTATTACCATCTGGATAAGGCAAATCAAATGACAAATATGAACACTGGAAAATAGGTCAGAAATGAATTGCAAGAGAGACAATATGCTAACTTACTGTTTTGATCCAACAGTGGTGGCCCGTGGTGCAGCCAACCTGTTCCAGGAACTCGGAAAAATCTGTGGACTTCTTTTTACAACAGCTCCAATACTTAAGGCCCTCATGGAATACAGGAACTCCAGGGTGGTACTTGCACAATTCTAAGTTGCTATGCTCACCTTCATACTCCTGAAAACCCAAAACCACTGTTAAAAAAGTATAATTTTTAAAACTTATTAACATAGCAAAACTGAATATACTTTTACTAAAACACTTACCAGAGAAATATAAACTCACAAGAACTGGGTGTTATGACTATCACTTCATGAAAAATTTGGCTGAGTGCCAGGTGACAGGAATGACTCGCCCCAAATGTACAAAGCTCTTGTAAGAAATGGCCATTTAGGAAGGGGTTTTCACATAATTTTCACTGGTAAACAAGTGTAAAATGTAACATCCACAAGCCATGGCTGGAAAAGCACCAGCTTCAGGGAGCACACTTTTTATATGATCAGGATCCTATTCCTGCTCTATTCCTACGGCACAGGAAGTATTACAGAAATTTAATTATATGATCAGGATCCTATTCCTGCCCTATTCCTACGGCACAGGAAGTATTACAGAAATTGGATGATCCAAAAATATTTTTAAATGACACAAATAACCAAATCTTATTTAATGTTATTGTTATTGCAGAGTTATCAACTACCTAGCAAGATGATATGGAGTATATGCAAGAGTTAATAACACTCCAAAGGAGAGGCAAGAAGTCTTAGCACTACACATGAGTGCTCATATAGGTTGGGCATACAAGCCACACACCCCAGAGAGTTAACCAATCAAGTAAACCTAATGCCCAGATTTTGTCCCATATGTTAATGTCCAAAAGAAAACATCTAAAATGCTGCATCACTCTGCAGCTTGACTAAGACAGTCTATAAAGTTAGTAGTGCATTGTGGTTATCTAAGTTTTCTACAATGATAACCTGACGGGAAAATTACTTTGTAGATGAATAATAGATCATATGATTATTTTACAACAGGTAACTAACCTTCCAATCATATCATATTAAAGAATAACAAAATGAAGATAGATGTATATTGTAGAAATAATACTTTCTCCTCCGAATCATGTTATTTAACTTATGACATGATTCACAGAACAATTATCTTGTACTGTCCCTGACTACAGCACAGCAACAACACATGACTGTACAATCCATATAGACCTGAGGTCTTGCCATTATTTATCATATATATTTACCCTCAAGTTCAGTGTTTGTAATGAAATATTTAACCTTTAGCCACCAGGTGGCATGTACCTACATGCCATGGCATACCCTGATTATATTCCAGGGGGTATGTGCATACATGCCATGGTGTACCAATCTCATTTTCCGGGGGCATGTAAGGACACACATACTAGGTTGACAATACAATTCCCTGGCAGAGGTCACTACCCAGGAGAGAGGGCTTGCATATCAGGAAATCACCCATCAATATTGGCTTAATACAGCAGTGATTACTTAACATTACTTTCTTTATTGAGGAAATATATAGTTGATAAAGAAAGCTGATAATTTTGAAGCCAAAGACTGAGATTTTCTCATACATGCAGCAACAAGTGCATGACTTTTGTTGGTGATTGTATCAGTCCATTATTGCAGCCACATGGTCAGTATGAGCATAAGTAAATTTGCAAATTTGTTTGTTGATTATCCAATACTGAAGTGAATGGGAACTATACAGAATAAACCACATTAGATTGAACAACATTTTACATTGCAAAATATCAGAAAGTGACAAGGAAGAATGACACATGATAGAAATCTGCAGACAAGTGAAAACTATTTGATAAAAAAAAAAAAAAAATCATATCAGTATGATTTAGATGAATGTTTATATTACATAATCACATGAATAGTTTAAATAAGTGATCACTGGATGACTTGTGTTCAGGAAGTGGTATTTGGGTAAAGAAGTTAAAAATTAAATGGTTCTGGATCCCTCTCCCTGGGATTTTTTTTTCTTCTTTTTTTCCAATTTCCTTAACCTTTCAACACAAAGTTCAAACATTAAAGGTATTAGCTAAGGTAGTGGCTTTACAGTCTACAAATCCTCTTCTCGTGCACTGCAGAATGTGACAACTTAAATACAAAATAATATTTTAAATTGAGAAACCTACAAATAGATAATATATAAGGCAACAAGATATATTTTTTCAAGAGATTCTTGCAATATATGATAAACCATAGATACTAACACATCCAAAGGTTATAGGAATCCTGCCACTATAAACTAAGACCACTAATGTCACTAGTACTATCTACTGTGCTAACACACTTAATCCCTACAATCCAGATGACGTGGTCATCACTTCAAGAAAATAACAGGATTAAGGAGTAGATGACGTGAACATAATGTCAAAGGAAAATTTGGCTGAGGGCCAGGGTGATAGAAGTTGCCATCATAATAACTTCAGTTGAAGGCCGGGATGATGGGAATGACTCGCCACGAATGCACAAAGCTCTTGGAGGGGGATCAGACTCAATGGGCACTATTTCCTTTGATAAACGAATGTACCATTCATGGAAGAGCACCGGCTCCAGGAAGGACAAAATCTCCATAATCAGGATCCTATTACTGCCTACCATGATTGGCAGCACAGGTTGTATCACAGAAAATTGAATATTACATAAAAATGAAAAAAATTACAAAAGTAACAAAATGCTGCTTATTGTTACTATTATTCCAATGAGTTGTAGACTACCAGGGAGATAATATGGAGTCTGGGTAAGAAAAAGTCTATTATCATCTGGATATAAATATGCATTGAAAAGGGCAAAAAAGCAAAAAAAGATTATGTAGATAAAGAGATTGCAAAGGGGATACAAGGAGTCTTGACACTGGCCATGAGTGTCTGTGTCCACCCGGCCTAGAAGCCACACGCCTGCGAGAGTGGCCACTGAAGTAAGCCTAACATCCGTGCAGCCAGTGAAACACCCAGATCCAGGGTGTTGATTATCTTTTTGTTTACCCTGACTAACTTCACTTCATCCATATCCTTTCTGCTTTTACAGAAAACATATGGGTGTGACTGAACATTTATCACATTTTCTAACTAGTATTATCATTAATATTAATATTAATATCAATATCAATATCAATATCAATATCAATATTAATATAATTATTATTATTATTATTATCATCCTTTTTTATGAAAATATATCTTAATGAAAATATACTTTAATGAAAATATATTCATATAAAAATATAATTTTACAAAAATATATCTCTACATGCATCATATCTGAAAACTAACTCTCCCAAATAAAGAATAGACATACCTACTTAAATTTCTTTTGACAATATTTTTTTACTGCTACTCAATGAGTGAATTTTCAGCAGATTCTCTAAGCTTTTAGAATTACTTCTCCAAATTATGCTATTTGAGACAATATTACCCTCATCAACAATGGACATTTTCTACAATTATCAAGTCCTCTCAATAAGACTTTTAATTTTCTTTTTTCCACATTCAAACTAAGACACTGCAGAAATAACTTACCCCTTTGCAACCATTATTTTTGCAACTCTCGCCAATCTTCACACCATCAACAGACGTCTCAATCTCTTCCTCCTCCACTTCCTCTGCTTTCAGTTCTTCTTTTGCTTTCTTTTCTAAAGCCTATTGGGAGATGAAAAACAAGAATGAACGTAGAATCAACTAATATATTCCTAAGGTCAAGTGCACAGTATCTGAAAACAGTTAAGATTAAGTAGCTAATCATCCCCTTCATTGACTTTTGAAACAGTTCGTAGTTAAGAAAGACATTAGCATAATTATCAATATGTGCAACTGCTTATAAAAATACAACTCTCTTATACCAACTAAGGGAAAACTGCCAACAAGAACAATCACCAAAATCCAAAAGGAATCCATCCCGCAGGCCCTCCTAACACTTCTGGCCTCCCCTCACCCCAGCCCCTCATACCTGCCGTAACGACTGGGAGACTGTGACAGGAAGGCGGGTTGTGGGGGTCTCGAAGGGAGGTCTTGGGAGCGCGGGTGCGTCCTTGCGCGCCTCCACGGTGATGACCTCGTCCTTGGTGGCCGGGTCAATCTTGGGCTTCTGCTGCTCCACTGGCTTCTCTGGATTGTGCTGCCCCTTTGCACATCCCTGGAACAGTTGTGTTTAATGTGATGCAGGCACATACTATAACATACTGCAATAACATTGGGAAACAAAAAATATAAACTCAAAGGAAAACATGGGAGATGAATGCCATTTAACACCTATCTAAAATTTAGGTTAACCCATTGCCACCGGGGAAAATGAAAAAAATGGGGAAAATGATGAGCTCATTTTTCAATTTTTTTGTGATATGTCTCTGTACATAGATGGCTCTGCTAGTGCTTAGCCATAAGGGATTCAATTGGTAGATCTTGTGACCTTGTTATTTTTATTATATTTACTATAATGTTATAAACATTAGTAACAGCAAAATAAGATAATGTAAAATATTTTTGTAAATCAATGGAAAGGGTGAACGGGCGAAACAGGCAGTACTCATAACTGGCTCACTGGTGGCTTAGTACAAGTGTAGCCATCTATGTGTAAAAACAATTAAAAAAGTAAACTCACAGTGGGCATGGCATATACGTGCCATGCCCGTTGGCAATGGGTTAATAAAGACATACCCAAAATAAAAATATAAAAATATAAAAATATAATAATATAATAATAATAATAATAATAATAATAATAATAATAATGAAGATAAAGATGAAGAAGATGAAGATGATGATG